GTTCTGTAGTTCTGTCTTTTTTGGAATAAAGATGGATGCTGTTGATCTTTTGATGGTGTGTTGGTGTTTGGTTTTGTTTTTGTTAAAGTGCAAGTCACCTTTTAAGCAGAAGTTAAAGCACTCCTGGGCTTGAGGAGTGGAGGCAGGTGGCCTAATGGGGATTCTATGTATTTCTGTGTGTTTCTTAAGCTACTGCTAGCTGGAGTTTGGAGGATGAGCATTTGAGCAGTGTGGTCAAAGGTGGTGCTGCTCTCCTTGCTGATGTGGGTATGTTGACAGAGGAAAGTCAGAGATGAGCTGTGTACAGCTTCCTGTCCTGCAGGAGTACAAGGGGAGCCAGGGCAGACCCCTGTGGCTTGCAGGGGTTGCTCCAGCTTGTGCCAAGAAAACAGTCCATGGATCAGGAGTGATCTGGGTGACACCGGTATATCCCAGGATGCTGAGGAGCTGGTGGCCTTAGCAGAGGAAGATATGGTTCAGCACACTTCCTTGTCAGCCTTACTTGAGTACTGGAGAACTAGTGGTACCTTTAGAACCGGAAAGTATAAAGGTGTTGCTTTTCTTAGAATAGTGGTCTCCAAACTTTTTTTTTATTTATTTTTAAATCACATACCCCTATTGGTATAAAATTTCCGAGTGTACACCCCCAAGCTTATTTATAAATTAATACTGTACTGATACGTACATTAAAAACTACACCAAAATAGGTGTAGAAGGGTGAAATACTGTTTGTGTGTACCACTTTGTCTTGTCTTGTGCACCCCACTTTGGAGACATCTGTCTCAGAAGATGGGAATAGCTGCAGAGGCCTGGCCAGAAGACATCTGGTATTTTCAGGTGGAGGACTAAGGAGAGCAGACAACTGTTTCTTATTGAAGACACAGCGGCAAGTGCTTTGCCCTGATGGGCTCTTGCCTGCAGTTCAGATGAACTGAGGAGGTGAGGCAGGTCTGTGCTCTGGCAGTGCATGTGGGAGTCCTGACTTTGACCACCAGGTTCTTCTTTGCCAAGCAAACCGTTAGGGTGGAGGCAACTGCTCGCATACCTGTATCTCCTGGGCTGTTAACCACAAGCAATACATTGTCAGCATACACCAACCAAGAAAACAGCCAGTTTTGATATCCAGAACTCTAGGGAAAGCAAGTACTGTAGCCTCTTTCCCTTGGTTATTTTCTATGTATCTAATGAATACATAGGATTTTTAACCCTACACTGGCCAGTCTGAGCTGGGTGCATCTTGCTGCTTAGCCCTCAGTGAGGTGGCTTTTCACAAACACTTTCAGCTTGTATTGAGCACCAGTTGCTCAATTCAGCCATTGAGTGTAGGCACCAAGGAGCTGTGAGGTGTCAAGGTTCAAGGCTGTTCTGTGATAAAAAGTACTGATGAAGCTGGATGTGCTGGGGGTGTTCAGCAGCTTCTGGAATCTCAGACTGGACAAAGGGGTGGCCGAGGTGTCTTGCTTGTCCATGGGGAATCTGGAATGCCTGGTGCCTTCTTCAGGAGCAGGAGAAGGAAGGGATAATCCATCTCCCAGTAAATCAGTGCAACATGGTAAGGTAGGGCTGTGGCTTCCCATAGCTCAGTGCTTGTCAGTTTCTTCTGCTGCTGCAGGGGGACATGTTGGAGAGGTGCAGGTGCCCCATGGTGCACAGCAGGCTCCAGCTGTTACCTGGGTTGTGAGCCCAGTTGATCAATGGCATCTGGCCAGTCCAGAGAGAGCCAGGCACTTGTTTTCTGCAAGTTCTGCCCCTGCGTGCTCAGGGAGAGGTGAGAGCAGGAGTAGAAGCCATAGCTGCTCCTTAGGGCTTTCCCCTTCTTCACCTAAGGCCTTAGAAGAGCAGAGGCTGATTGAGGTAAGTGTTCCTGTTTGCTGAGGACAAGGCATCTGTGCAGAGTAGCCTGAGGGATTTTAGGTTCAGTTCTGCCCGTGGTTCACCCTCTTCTGTCCCCCCTCTGGTTTCTCATTTAATGAGTTGAGATTTCAGCCTTCATGAATGACCCTCATTTGCAGAATTGCCTGCTTCTGACACACTTTCTCCCAAGATGGAAGAGGTGGAAAAATGCTCCCCACCCTTTCTGAAAGAGAGCTCAAGAAAAGACAATATAAACGCTGTTTTATAAAGGACTGAGCAGTGGTGGAACTGGTCTAGTGTGGCCAGAGGAGGGATGGGTAGGATGTTTTGCCAGGGTTCAGGCAGACACCTCTGGTATAAAGGGGGACTCTCCACAACACTGCTGCTCTGAGGAGCCCACATGTACCAGCTTAGTGACTCCTGTGTCACCAGGAGCAGGTTTGGTCAGGCTTGGGCCTCCTGCCACCTGCTGCATCATAACCATTGGCTTCTGGCACCTTACAGACCTGGGCAGACACAATGATGACCACTGCTGTGTGGCTTGGGTGCCACAGGGCATCATCTCTGCTGCAAAATGAGGTCAGCCCTGCAGCAACCAGCACGTGGTTAGGGAACTGCACAGCCTCTCCGCAAAGGCAAGGGGGTACACAGAACTATGGGCATTTCCTCATTTTTTCCTGTTTTTTGCTTTAATTGCATTTAAGGATAATTCTCAGAAGTAAATGTAGTCAATACATAAAGCAACATCAGCAAGGAAGCCTGTGTCTATGACTCAGCTGCTCTGAGAGGTGGCTTGGCTTTATTTTCTGCTGGATTGGGAGACATGGCCCAGTGAGGTCTTGTTCCTGCTCCAACTGGGCAGGTCTTTACACACTTCAGAGGAAAGGAGGAACAGCTACTGGCTTTGTATTCAGTTGCCCATAAAGCAAAATCACCAGGAAATGAACATGCAGAACTGCTTTCAGTAGCAAATACTGGAGCCTGACTACTTACGTTTGGAATTCATGCTACGGAACCTCAGCTGACCTCTTCCACAGCTGCTTTGGGATAAACATCTCTCAAAAAAGAGATTTTCCCTCAACCACATTTGTTAAATTTTCAATTTAATAAATTGAAAAAAAGGTGTATAAAAAATGCCCTTTTTTTTTTTCTTTTCTTTTTCTCACACGAAGAACACCTCCTAACCATTACCTTGTTACACCTTACATAAATATTGCTGCTGCTCTTGTTATCCAGACTTTCATTTAACAGGGGGAAGGGGGTGAAGATCCACCTTTGACATGCTCATGCCTTAAACAAAGGACTCTGTTTTCACAGTTCTTACAGGAGCAGCCTTTTCAGTGGCAGCAGGACCCTTTATGAATTCTTCTGCAGTGCTTTTTGGAAGGGCTACCAGTGTCTCTGCTGAAGGATCTGATACCCAGCTTAATTCCCTCCCTAGTTCAGCATTGAGGACAACTGGCATGCACATGTTGCAGCACAGGTTACTGCCATCAGACACCCTCCTTGCTCAGGCACCGTGTTCACGGAGTGGAGCAGTTGAGGAGGCTTAAATTTTGCTTTACAGCTCTGGTCAAAAGCAGAAATGGGCATGATGCAAGATGCAGCAGGAAAGCATTAGGTATTATCAGCATGTTCTCACTCTTGCAGTGGAAAGTATGGAAAAATTACAAGGTCTCTGAAACCCAGATGGCAACAGCTATGGCCATGGTCAAAGAACAGTGCTGTAAGTAATGCAACAGCTAAGATAGGACATGCTGAAACCAAAGCAATTACCTGCTGCTGCTGTCTTAGCCCTTGTGTCTAGACATTATTGCACATCATCTGGGTTAAAAAAATAAAGAAAAAAAAGCAGCATTCAGTTCCCCCAACACGACAGGATCCTGAGGAATCTGGAAGTGCTCAGGGAACAGCAGTGTCAGGAAACCTTACCAGAGCAGCCCAACAGACAGGATACCATTCCCTGAGCAGCTTAAACTGCCAGTGAAGGAGATGTCCTAGCTCCTGCTGGCCCCAAGCCTTTCCCTTCTCTTGCTTCAACACCCACCCCTGCCTTTGCAGGCAAGCAGTGATTTGGGTCAGTATAGAGTCCATGAACAATTTAACCTTGGAAGCCAGCCATTAGTTCCCGGTGGCTGGGCAACAAGAATGGCTTCTCCTGCAGCCACAATCCTGTGATGCAACAGAGGGCAAGGCCCAGCAGCTGGGAAAGAGGAAAGGTGGGACTGTGCAGCAAGGCCTGAGACTGGTTCACAGCAATTGCGTAAGCAAGCATTGGGCAGTGTAACCACCACGGCCTTAATTACAGGGCTGTAAGCCAGGAATACATTGTATCAAGGATAGAGAAAGCTTTTGCCAACCTTCCTGCTGGGTATTCTGCAAACTGCCCTTCACAGGGCTTTTCCTCAGAAGTGCGTGGGTAGCACAACCTCCTCTTCCATGGACCTACATGTGCACATTTGGGCTTTTTTAAAACTCTTCAACTTGAATTAGACAAGATCAAAGAAATTCATGGACCTGGTCAGCTCCTTACCATGATGTCAGCTGCCTCTTTGTGAAAGCAGGTATTACTGTAAGGACAGCACAGGAATCATGTTTAAGTTGCTAGATTACATAGCCAGCATTTACTGATGTTTTCCTGGTAGGAAGTTGCATCCTGTGGACTAGCCTGACATACATGTGATTCCATAGTGTGGCCACTGGATGTTGTCATTGCTCCTTATAAATGTCACAGGCTCCATGTTATCATCCCATAGGAAAAAAAAAAGACTCCCAAAATACAAGGCAGTTTCAACATCAGCTGCAGCTGTTGATGGAACACATGCAACCACCACACGTACTGGATCATCTGATTAATGACAAGAGGGAGCAAAGCAAGTATCACATCATACAGAAGATTTAAAGCATGCATGGAGCTTTAAATAACCAAGGAAGCCTTTTACTGTGAGCATGGTGAGGCACTGGAATGGGTTGCCCAGGGAAGTTGTGAATGCTCCATCCCTGGCGGTGTTCAAGGCCAGGTTGGACAGAGCCTTGGGTGAGATGGTTTAGTGTGAGGTGTTCCTGCCCATGACAGGGGGATTGGTACTAGATGATTTTAAGGTCCTTTCCAACCCTAACTATTCTATGATCGTAAATCTGGACTCCAGTTATTGCTCCAATGACTTATAAACATGTCAATAAATGCACAATGGAAGGCACTAAAAGTGATGGTTGTCATTTACCCACTCAAAGACTATCTGAGAAGTTTCATTTCACTGTGAGATCTTTATTTGTATTTAACCTCAGGCAAAATATTTCCCAGAGAAGAAAGCACTGACAACCGTAAGGGGATTCCTCGACAGAACAACTGAGATGCTCCTTTGACAGCAAATGGGATTGTGGAGAGAAGCTCCTGTTAGCTGACACACTTGATGTACTTTAAAGAGTGAAAAAAAATAATAAATTAAGAACCTGAGCAAACAGAGGAAAACTAAAGGCGTTCTTTTTTTTGGGTCCTTCCCAGATGTCCCTAAACACTGAAGTGCAATTTTGTGCTGGGTTCAGTCTTTCCTGACTGCAGGCTACTGCTGATGACGTGATCTGTTTTCACCCTTCCCTTATATCTGGCAGAAGCCAAGTTTGAGACTACTGTTGGGGAGGACAAACTAGAAGAGAAAACAGAATTAATTGTCCTTTCAGTGGCTCAGCAAATGGAAGGAATCCATCACAAAACTGCACAACCAACTTAAATTCTGTTCAACAAACCAACCCCTAGATTCTCTTCAAGAGAACTGGTGAAACAGCCTCAAGTGGAAGCATCCAACAATTAAACTAAATTAAGCACAACACAAAACCATACTCTGAGTCAATTTTGTTTGTTTTCAGGTGATGACTGTCCCTTACAGAACCACTGTGTTTGCTTTTTATTTAGCTGGTTATGCAAACTGCACTTTCTGACAGGCCAGAGCTGTTATCACTCACCCCACAAGCCAATGTGCAACTTCTAAGCTCTTTTGCATTATTCCCTCTTTGATGTGTTATATTAGTGAGCAGTGCGATAAGCCTTTCCTCAGCATTAGTGCTGGCTTAAGTGGAGTTTTATGCTCCTCCAGCCCCATAGTTACATCTTTAGTTGTTCCAGTATTTGAACTCATGCCACACAGCCAGCTGTGGGACAGAATTGATATGAGTAAAGAAAACAAAGACAAAGCAAAGGCACAAGTTTCCCTCCCCAGCTTAGTCTGAACACAGATCAGTTTCCAACACAGCTTATGCTTTCACTTCTGCCAACTTTCCCCTCCTCCACCCCCGATACTCAACCTACTGCTTAAGCCTTACTGAAATCTAAAAGATTTTCAAAGATAAAACCAGACAATCTAAAACTAATTTTTTATTATATCCCCTTCAGAGCCATGGCCCTGCTACAAAGAATAATACAAGTACAAACAGCAGTATTACATGTATTAGGGTAATACTGTAGGCAAGGAAAACAAAACTAGCTAGTCAAACTTCATATCTAATTCCAGAAAGTCTCATGCCAGCATCATGTCATAGTATCTTGAGTAAACCAGAAGATCAAGACTTCAATTGTCATCTTGAAGATAATTTGTATCTCAAAATATTAATTGAATCTCTTCCATATTAATGAAATAGCTATGAAACGTAGCAGAAAACATTGTGTAATAGGCAAGAAAAATTATGCCAGTGGCTTATGGTGAGAACCCCAGCACTGCTGGGTACAATTCCACAGCTCCCTAATGGATAAAAAGAAAGTGAAGTCCAAAGCCATTTAGGGAAGTTTAGGGGAAAAAAAACCCCAAACATTTAGAAGACCTTCTGAGAATTTCATTAGTTGAAGGTGGTGGGGGAGAGAAACACTGCAAGGTCCAGGACAGCAGTGCTGTTCCTGTTCTGATTCATGCTAAATGGAGCCTTTCAGGGTATCTACCTGGCTTCAGGGCAAGAGAGTAGCCATGAAGTACATGGAGAATGGAGGCTCTGAAACCCTCCTGCTTAGTAATGGTAAATCTGTCAGGCTGAAAGATTCTTGCTCAGTAGCAGAATGCTTTGTACAGTTTTCAGACCATGAAATTCCATGCCTAGCATCCAGCCCATTCAGTGGTTTTAGTCTGTGAAGATGCTGGAAGCAAGTCTGGCCTTCCCTCACTTCAGGAGTTGGGTATAACAAGTAAGGGTTTTTATAGCAGCCATCAAATTTATGTAGTATTCAAAAATGTTAATCAAGCTCAAAGACTGACTCATAATAATACATATTTTTTAAACAGAAGTTAACACAGAAAAATGACAGTATGCTCAGGCCAGACCTAGTAGAAAAATCATCTTCTCCAGTTGATTTTATATAGCAGGAAAAAGGCACCTTTATTTGCTAGGTTTTAACCAGGATACCTCAAATCAACTGGAAAAATGGGGCATCTCTGGATGTCTGCATATCCCTAGGACTTAAAAATGTGCAGCTGTATCCAGAAAGTTCAGAAAAGCATACTCTTCTCCTCATCTCCCTTATCATATGCTGCATGCCTGCCCTCATGCAAATGACAGCATTTTAGCCATCAACAGGAAGACTACATACAGCTGATAAGGGCAGTCCTGAAGTCATTCAGAGAAATAGCTGACACTGGAAACAGCAAACCGGCTCCACAGAAGGATACGTAGCTGGGATTTCTTGTGGACAAAAATAAAGGTTTTTTTTTCTACTAGAGATTTAAATATTGACTACCAGATACCAAAGAAGTGCCAACCAGCTCTGAGAACTTAAGCTTGGTCAGCTATTACAGGGATGGATGCAAGCAACACCACCACTTACAGAATGCACATGGCAGCAGAAGATCACCTACATGCCTGCCATCAAATAATCCCAGCAGTTGAAGATATATGTAACCAGTACAAATTGTGCAAGACATTTTCAAGTAATTCATATTTGAACATGAGTCACCTTGATTGAATAAGAAGTCATGTCCTTTTAGGGCTACGAAGGTTATACTGTCAAAAGGAAAACATGCATAGCACCTAATAAAATATCGATGTAAGAAAGCTATATTAAGAAAGAAGCAGCAGCATAAGATAATGCCTGTCAAGTAACAGTAACTGATGCAGGAATATGTCTTAGTATTGCAGAAGTGACTAATAGCATAGTACTTTAAACAATAAAGCAGGACTTAATTTTCCAGTTTAAAAAAAGGCCTGCTTCTGTAGAAGATACCAAATACTGCTGAAGTACCACACACTTCAAACTCAGCCCTGAAGATGTTACCGGAACAACCAGAGATATCCACTGTCTGGCACAATAAACTGGACTTTCCCTTTACTGCAACCTAACTACACTTCTGTAAACCCCACAGCAAACAAATACTTACAAACATGAGAATGAGGTGAGAAGAACTGAAACACTACCTCAAACATGACCCTAGTCCTCTTTGAAATGTATTAAAGCACATGCATGTAAAAACCTTCAATAAATTTTGCCAATAGTTTCAATAAAAAATGAAGCACAAGTTGTGAGCTCAAACAAGTGTATCTGTATCATGGATGAACATTGTCTCCATTAAAAAAAAACTTCTCGTTTGTACGACTCTTTCCTCCCACCAGTATTTTCTTCTGCTTTTTGAGCTTGTTACAATCCATTGATTATTTCACATTGATGAACCTTGTCTCAGCATGGTCTTCAGCTTGATTTCAGATGTTTGGCTTGAAAAGTTCAGGATATCCTCTGGAATTATATCCAGAAAAGTTCATTAACTTCTCTCAATTATATTTTGAATTAGCCAAAGACACAGAGATTGAGAACTTTATTACCTTGAGGAGGAAAAAAAAGAAGGGTCAAGCTTTCCTCTATTTGAGTACTCAAATGGATTACAACTCCAAGCATACTAAGAGACTTACTTTTATCTGTCTCATTGTGGGATGTGATTATTATTTGACACTATACATGCTCCCTGTACACCTTACCTAAGTAATCTGTGCTGACTCCAAGTTTAACCAATAATCAACAAGTGTAATATACATTATATTAAATCAGGAATAGCTACATTTGATCGAGTTGTCACAAATACTCTACTCAAATCAATTGAGTTATTTTAAAAAGCTATTATTCCATTGTTCAAAGATTACTCATACTTATTGTAGACTAATTCACCTCGCATATTGTTCATAAGGCAGCTTTGTATTTCAAAGAACTTTGTCTTTGCCAAAATGACTGTGAAATTGGTCATGTCACTTATATAGCTTTCTCCTGTTCCTCAGTTTTATTGCCTAAATTTACTCAGAAGAAAGCATTCACTGGCGCTTTGATTGCCATGAAGCAAAATATGCCAAATGATGAAACAGTAAAACTCTACCTTAATTTTTTTGAGATGGGAGGATTCAAACACAATCAGTTATAATATTTGTCAATGATAACATTTGTTCTTTACAAAAAGGCAGTCAGATACCAGGCAAAGAATATTTAGTCATATCAATAAGAGTTATTTTTGTAGCTGAAGAGCAAGCAGCTGCATGAATTTCTACATGCATTACAGCATCTTCATAGCTTCTCCAAATTAAGTTATACATAATTTAATATACATAAGCAAATTCATAAAATCTAATCATACCTGTTCTCTTTGTTGCAGTAATCTGTGACATCACTTTCGTATTTTGTAGCATTTCTTGTCTCAGTCTCCATTTCTTTGGTGTTGGAGTCTACTTTACCACTATACTTGCACAGGATCTACAGGAAACATTAAAATGGAATAAAAATAATTATTTAAGAACTCAAAACAGGATTACAATTTATGAATTTTTAATAAGTAGCAGAGAACTCTTTCTTTTTGAAGAACAAAATTTGATAAGTGCTTTAATTTTACTATTCTGATACTAAAGCTATTTAGGGAAAAAAATAAAGTACATCAGCTAACCTGTAGAACATCATCTGGTATCTTTGTTATTTCTGGAGGTGGAGGAGTATTGAGTAACTGGTCATAGTCTTTTATTTTGGGAGGAGAAGGGTCTCTGAAATGTTTAAGATACTCAGAGCTCTCAGCAAAAGAAATGCTGTCCTCGTGTTGTTTATCTGTTTCATCGTTCTTTGTCACCAACTCAGTCTTCCCCTCCTGCTTCACCTCCTACAAAAGAGATATTAAATGCCTTCAGTTAATTTAAGTTTAGTATTTATTAAGTGTTCTTACAAAGTTACCGTTAGAAAGATCTACAATGATGTAAGAAAAAGTAGTATTGGAAAGGAATCTTAACTGAAATTTGAAAAAGCGTTTATGGTAAAGTCTGTGAAAACGTACAGAATTGCTATTTAAGAACTTAGCTTCCTCTTTTATCCATCTTGTTTCAAAATCTGGGCACTGTGGTGTTCCTGTGTGACTGGGAAGAGGCTGTTCATTTGTCTCTGGTAACCTTGATAATACTGTACTGTTTGATCTGTAAGGGGTTTTCACATCAGGAGTACAGAACACAGGCATCATAGGAGAAGCCATCCAGTTAGCTGCTGAAATTAAGGGGAGGATAATAAAAATGTCATATACACACACACATATATAAACATTATCAGTTTCAGTGCCTCAGTTTAGTTCTCCAAGTCTGCTAGCTTATCATATATTTGCATGTTCTAAAATACCCGAATAATTTTAGTTACTTTTTAGTATAAGGAACCATCCAAGTTACAGAATTCCATAAGACCTGAAAATGTAAAAAACAGTAGTAAATCTAGTGCCACTACAGCAGATAACTGAAAAAGCTCAACCTAAATCAATATTGCTTTAGCTTCTAGCATACTCAGTTATTCCTATGTTTGTCTCAAATGTTCAAAGCCAGGCTGGACAGGGCTTTGAACAAACTGTCTGGCGGAAGGTTTCAACCCCCACGGCTGGGGGTTGAAACTAGATGGTGTTTAAGGTCCCTTCCAACCCAAACCATTCCATGATTCTATTCTACGATTCTGTTTTCAAGAAAACAGATTACATCTCCTCTCACAGAAGTTTTAGTACTACTCTTGAGAGATCTAAGTTACTGTCTCTTTCCAAACAGTTTCTTTCTCATCTTTAAAGAAACCTAACAGGTATTCTAAGGGGGGGTTTTGGGGGGGAAGGGTAAGTTGGCAAACCAGTATTTTTATCAAATAAGGAAAAGTAGCAGTTACAAAATAATGGATCCCTCTTCATAATTCTAGATGAATGCGAGTAGAAGAATTAGCAAAGATTTATACTGCAACAAGGCACTTTCCCACAGAAGCCAACAACATTCCATTTTCTTGATTTTAGTGCTCATACAATGGCTGGGCCTGAACTAACTATAGTTAACAAAAAACACAGTTTAAAAAGCCTACCATATGTTTACAATGCATTTACACATGCATTATATAAAAAACACATATGTGTATTTATTTCACATTTTTTTAACTTACCATTATCAGTTGTCACTTTTGATTTTGACCCAGGAGTGACCATGATTTTCCTGGGTGTCATGTCTTGTACAGTCACTTCATGATCATCTTTAACCAACCTGAAAACCAAAACCCTTTATTAGCTCTCAAGTAATACAAAGAAATCACAAGTACAGGAATACTGCCAACCTGATCACTTTTCTAGCATGTTTATCATCCTGCAGGTCAAAAATTTATTTCCTCAAAGATGATTTTGTCATAGATGTTTCATCTATGAGTCTACCAAACAATTTGTAGCATGCAAATGTTTAGTCCAGTCACACATTTTCAAATGCAGTAAGATTTCAATCCAAGGCAATAAAAACACCCCAAAATGAAAAAAAAACCCAAAAAACAAAAACCACAACCAACAACCAACAAACCCAAAAGGTGTCCAGTGTAGAACTAATTTTCTTTGTCCCAGATGATCAGTTCTGTGTTAGGAGTACAGTATTTTACATTAAATTCTCTGTTGCCTGCAGGAGTCCAAACAACATGAGGAAACCTTTTTGGCTCTTAATTTACCAACATTAGTGTGAACATTAGAAGATTTTAAATTCAGTTTTAGTTTGGAATAAGTTTACTGATGTTACTCACTAGCTGACTTGAATGAAAAGCCAGTTAACAGTAATTTCACAAAACTGGAAACTGAAATTTTTAAGGTTCTTTTTTCACAGCTAAGATTCTAGTGGAAGAAGGGTGTAGGCAGTTGAAGAGACAATACCAGACAAAAAGTGGAAGCTTACCTAAATTCTACACAAAAATGTGTCTATAAGAAAGTGATTTAATGTGTAAAAAGTTATCTTAACTACAAGAACTAGGTTTAGAGCTTCTCCACAAAAAGCCTAAGCTTAAAAATCAACAAAATATCCATTTGAGGCAGTGTATTTTAGATTACCACATGTCAAATTTTGAGAGGAAAAAAGTAGTAACTTTTCAAGTCAGTGCTGTGTTGGAAATATTCTGGGTACCTAAAATCATATGAGTTTTAATTTTTACAATGGAGAAAAACAAGTGTAACAATAAACACTTTCATTTGGGCACTTTCTGTTTTTCTTTTCTTTCCTAACTACTTTAGGTTTCAGTTTTGTAGTGGGTGCATCGAAATATATTTTTGTTCTCACCCACTTCAAAACTGAAAACCTGAAACACGAAGTTGGAAGAGTTGACATCTTATAAATATTTTTTAAGAACTTTGCTGCTGGACAGGTTTCAGCCAGGAACAATCCCTGCATGCCACACCTTGGGTTTTGTGTTTATGTTTGCTGGTTTAATATGCTAAGCCTTCTCACTAAGAGGAGAGATGAGAGCTTTCTGAAGGTAACAAATTGTTGAATTGTTTCAACCTCTATCAAACAGCAAGCTGACTCTAACATAATGTTGCAAAATAAACAAAACAAGCCAAAATACAGTTAAACAACATTTTAACTCTACTGACTCCATGTTATGACCTCTCAAGTAGTTCTGAATCCATCATAACCAGTGCATGTTCTGCTGTTTTGGTCTTAATGTGTTGAAGAGCAATCAAGCTATAACTAATTCTCTAGAGAATTTGAATATTACCATTAGGAGTGTGGAAGGCTGCTAGTGTGATTCTTTTTCTCTCTGGTGGACTAATTGTTTCAACTAGAAGCTGCAGAAATAGAATCTACATTTGTGGCTGTATCCATTTATAAATTACAGCCATGATTAAGGCTGATGACCACATTTAAAGCAGTTCTCATTAAATGGGGAAAGTGGTATAAAAATTGCAAAAAGTTACAGTTATTAAAAGAACTTCAACTGCATTATAAGCTGGACCTGTTTTTTAAATATTATTTGAGAATTAAATTATTGAAAATTATTATATTATTTTCAATTCATGTTTTAGGATTCAGTAACAGTTTTCCTGCTATTCCAATTCAAATACTATAGAGCTTTATAGCGTGATAGTATTTACACAGCTATTTAAAATGAGAGATCCCCAAACTATTTTAAAAGAAAATTTATCTTTTCACTTCCTCCTTTCCCCCCAGTAATCTTAAATTAAAAAAACAAACCCCCCAATCAATCAACAAAAACAAACAAAAATAATCAACAAACAACCAAATCCAAAACCAACACAAAAACCCCCAATTCCCCCCCCCCCCCCAAATGTAACCACTGCAGTAAACTGGATATTTGGGGGCTAGTCACGTAAATTGGCAAATATCAGGGATTAAAAAGGTGGATTATTTCCA